CATGGGTTGTGATCTCATGGGTCTTGTGATCTTGAGATAGAGCCCCAGTCCTGCATGGGATTCCACACTCAGCAGGAGGTCTATTTGAAGATTCTCTCCCTTGGCTCCTTCCCCTATGCCAGCGGGATTGCTCTCTCTCTCAATTAAATAAATAAATCTTTTTAAAAATCATGATGTTATTTTCAGTTCTATAACCTTTTAATTTGCAAACAGGTAATTACAGAAAAAATTATAGAATGCACTAAAAAAGCAGTTGGAAAACAACAAATATTTCATGTAAGAATTGCTAATTAGTGTAATAACCATTAAAAAATGGAAGTTTGTACATAAATATATAATCATCCAAAGAATGTCAGTCTTTGACTTCACTTAATTACTAAAATGGCCATTTAAGGGCACCTGGCTGGCTCAGTCAGTAAAGCAGGCAACTATTGATCTCAGAATCCTGAGTTCCAGCCCTATGTTGGACATGGAGCCTACTTAAAAATTAAAGTAAAATCTTTTTAAAAATTTAAAGAGGATTTTAAAAAATAAAATAAGATGGCCATTTAAGAATGTACCTTAAGGAGCACCACAAATATATCTTTTTATTAAACAGAAATAAAGGATAGTTTGATCCCTTTAAGCTTTTATTTTGATTTCTAACAAAATATCAAAACAAAAGACCTATTTTGCATATGTATATTAATTATGAGACAATAATTAAAATACTTATACCTTCTAAATAGTATCAATATCATTTAAAATATTCTTAGTGGAGATGAAAGCATTAATAGACATAGCCCATCTCCGACAGATTATTACTAAAATTATTTACTAAAATGTAAATGTTGATTACTAGTTGCTATCATTTGTGATTTTTTGGGTAAAGTGTAAGATAAATAGGAAGTTTCACTCCATTTCCTTAGCCATGATGAATAAGCAACATCAAGAAAACATTATAATAAATCTGTTTTTTTGGAGAGTGGCTGGGAACCCATATGCTACATAGGTTTTAATATGAGGAACTCTCTTATCAGTAAAGTGAAACTTTAGAAAAAGTCATATTTTAAAGTATCATAGCAAAGCTTGCACCATGTGTGAAGTTTACTGTCACAGCAATTCTTCATAGAAAAAAATTCTTAAATCTAAGGTTGTCAATCTGCAGTTTTTTGAGTATTGTAGTCACTTAGAATTAGCAGTTAACAAAGAAAAAAAACTCTTAAAAGCATTGACTTTTTACACTTCATTCTTACAATTCACTATTTACTTATCTTACAGTTAATCTCCATGCTAAATCTGAAAGTATGCTCTCAATAACAACTATAATAAAAGAATGTTGAGATAATGACACAAGATGATAAAAGCAAGGAAATGCTCATTTAAGGATATAATCTCTTTCACACATATGAGCTTTAAGTAGACATGAAGAAGTAGGAGAAATGTTCCACAAAAAGTTACCCAGAGAATTCCTCTAGGACAAAAACTTATCAAAACGTAGAAAGCCTTCTGAGATTCCAATCACTATTGATAAAGCCTTTCTAATATGAGATATTTTGCTCTGCATAATTATGTGCAAATAAATTTTGTAAACAAAAGTTCCTTATCATCTTTAATTAATGAAAACTTAGAGAAGAATTATAAGACTTGGTTTCTGCTGGTGGAAGTGTTTGGATGGTTGATAAAGCAGAGCTAATGCTATGTGTTCAGCAAACCCATTTATTTTTCTTCCTTAATACATAACTAAATTACATTCCCAAACCTCCCCTGCAATTAGTTTGGGCCATGTGACTGACTTTGGGCCAGTGGATAAGATACTATCTTTTAGAATCAACAAGCTTTCCTCCCTCCATTTAGTACAGAGTATCCAGTGGAGGACTCCAGGGCTCTACAAGATGGCAGAGTAGGTCTCTGAGTGACATAATGGAATAAAGACCCACTCTCTATCTGACCAACCCTGGAATGTGACATAAAGGAGTAATAAACATAGTATTAAGCCACTGAAACTTGGGAAAAGCTAGAAGATTATTCATTCATTAATTTTTCTGTTTCTCAAATATTATGAATAATAAGAATTACAGGGGATAAAAATAAAATTGGGGACTACAGAGAAAGGCAAAGATGGTAATTATATTGGATTTAAATATTAGATTAGGAATAGTTTTTAGGAACTACAGTTCACCCTTGAACAACACAGATTTAACTATACAGATCCGCTTATATGTGGATTTTTCTTATAAATACAGTACTATAAATGTATTTTCTCTTATGATTTTCTTTTTCTTTCTTTTTTTAAAAAAAAAAGTTTATTCACTTATTTGACAGAGAGCACAAGCAGGGGGAACAGGAGAGGTTGAAGCAGGCTCCCCCACTGAGCAGGGAGCCCTGTGGCATGTGGCTCCATCCTGGGACTCTGGGATCAGGACTCTTTCCAAAGGTAGACACTCAACCAACTGAGCCACTTAGGCGCCCAATGATTTTCTTAACATTTTTTTCTCTAGCTTATTTTATTATAAGAACAGAATATATATAATACATCTAACATGTACAACATGTATTGGTTGACTGTTTATGTTATCAGTAAGGCATCCACCCTTGTCAACAGTATGGTATTTAGTCAAATTTTGGAGGAGTCAAAAGTTAGACACAGATTTTTGACTGCACTGGTGTTGGTGCCCCTGACCCCCGCATTGTTCAGGAGTCAATTGTATATGATCTCAACTATTCTATAATTGGTCTCTGTCAAACTCTTGTTTCTCCAAGTCATATGCCGAATTTATATCCTCTTATTAAGATAATATTATTAATATTAGTGATAAATGCTTAAAGCATTAGCTAATATTCATTTCTTGCCATATCCTGAGCATAGTGCTTAGCATTTTATATGAATTATCTCATTTAATGTCAAAGTAATACTATGAGAAAGTTTTTAACAATATATTCATTTTACTGAAAAAATTGATGTCCATGAAAATTGAGATGATCTCACAGCTGGGATGCCTGGGTTGCTCAGCGGTTGAGCGTCTACCTTCGGCTCAGGATGTGATTCCTGTTTGGAGATCGAGTCCCACCTCATGCTCCCTGCAAGGAGCCTACTTCTCCCTCTGCCTGTGTCTCTGCCTCTCTCTCTATGTCTCTCATGAATAAATAAATAAAATCTTCAAAAAAAAAAAAGATGATCTCACAGCTAATAAGTGGTGAATCCAGAATTTAAAAAGTCTTTTTTTCACTCCTATTAACATAAAACGTTGCATCAGTGTAATATTTGGTTTTAAACAATTACTATTTGAGCAATAATAACCTCAACTATTAAAAAAATAACTTCAACTATTTTCCTACCCGCAAACAGAATCGTATAGCTTTGTGTTCATTTTGTACATCACAAAAAAAACGCTGATAGGAAGTGTTGATCTTAGTAACTATATTATAATCCTGGATCTGCCCCTCATAGTGAAAACTTTACACCCTGATTTTATCAACATGCCAAAAATCCATCTATTATGGGTAGATGCACAGTAATCATTAATGTTTTGACCAGTAAATCTAATTATTCATTTATGATGAATAATTTGAATGAAAAAAAAAACCTTCACTGAGGGCCTGGAATATAGTTAATTACTCACCTAAAGATAACTACCATTATATATGATATATATAAGGGATAGCTGGGTGGCTCAGTCAGTTAAGAATCTGACACTTTATCTCAGCTCAGGTCTTGATCTCAGGGTCCTGAGTTCAAATCCCATGTTGGGCTCCACACTGGGCAGGAAGCCTACTTAAATATGTGTGTGTATATACATACACACATGTGTTTAAATATGTATATATATACACACACATACATACATACACACACATATACCATGATGATATATATGAAATTCATGTGGATTAGTATATACCCTTAGAGCAGAGATTCTTTGGAAGCCAAATAATAATCAAAATATTATTTGAAAAATATGGATTCAGAATTAAGATATTTTTGTGGATAGAATGCTTATACATATAAACACATACATACATATATATATATGTATATATGAGTATTGGGAGATATACATATGTATATATGGCCTTGTCTTTGGGAATAAGGTTCAATGGAATGAAGTCCCACTCCGTCAACTCTGAACCATATTTGGAAAGGCTTTGCCCATACTGCTTTCTGACTTTTCTGTTATCTGCTTTCATGGCTAAAATTCTTTCTGTGGATATGTCAATACCTTCAATTAGTTTATGTCATACCTGCTGCATAGGAACTTATCTTTTAAGAGAACTATCCTTGTACTGATCTATTTTGTGTTGATCTTGAAATTCAACAATCCAAAGGCAACCTCATCTTGCATCTTTTATTTCAAATCTTTTGCTACTACGTCTCTCATGATAGTCTATAATAATGAAAAAAAAAACGACAGGAATTGAAAGAATTAATTCCAAGACAAAATAGTGCTCACTGAAATATCCTATTTATGAGAAATTAGTGAGGATAAATAATAGCAGCTGTACTCTTTTTCTTTCACATTACGTAGAAGCAACATATCCACAGGATTCAGTTAATCATCTTAACACACATCTTGATTGCTGGGGTTTAAAGCTCTCCAAACTCCTTCTACAAGAGGCACCATGTTTCTCTTTATAATGGTACCAAACCCCATGCCAAGCTAGAACTGTTGCTCTGGAAGGAAGCATGGCCCAAAATTCATCAAAGCTGCCATACAGTGTCAGGGAAAGATGGTGCTATGCCAGTTGCACCCCATCAGTGAAAAACTAAAGCTTGTTCAAGCTTTATGCTGCCACCATGCCATGCACTTCAAGAGCAAAGTCTAGTGCCACAGTCCTGGTGTTTCTTTTTCCAACTAGGCAAATGCCGAGAGGAGCACTTTCTCACAAACAAGTATGTGGGAGATAGTAAATGCAATGACAAGGTTAATTAAACCACCAGGGTGCTTTAAGACTGGAATGATTCAGTCAGACAGAAACAAACAATGTTTATTCCTTTATTGTTGTTTCTTTTTCATCTACATGTAAGCCAGGGGATGGGAAAAGGACCAAGAATTCAAACATGGGAAAGATCTGGATGAACTTGGGAACTATTCTAGTATTTTAGAGTCTGAAGAATACTGTAGGGAAAAGTATTCCGAAAACAAAGACCGAGAAGAATGCTGAAGCAGCTTTCTCTGGAGACACACCCTGCACAGTAAAGGAGTTCCCAGACACCTTTCTGCCTGGATCCAGCTACTTTTCTTTGAGTTGGAGAACACGTATTTGGAAACCTCTGACTGACAACAGCACACTGATGAGTAGATATCCTTTGATGTGGAGTGAATGATCATGCCATCAACCTTCATAGTGCTGGCCAGTGAGAAACCTCTGAAAATAACATGAAAAGAACAAGAACATAAGTGATCAGTACAGAAAAGGCAAAAAGGCAAAACTTCGTAATAATAAGATAAACAAAGATAAAAATTAAGTTACAAAAGCAAAAGTTATAAAAATTTGTAATTTTTAAAATTCTTGTAGTGTTATAGCATGTTGTTACATTTACGAAATTTTATTTTTATTAATAAAACTATTTAATTGATAATAAAATGAGGGAAATTCCATTAAAGTAAGCATTGCCTATGGTGTCACCACTGTACAAGTTTGGTAATATCTGAATACTCAAACTATTTTAGTAAAGGAAAAAAGAAAACACACGAAAAACTTGTTGTGTATAACTGAGCATATGCAAAGATACCCTTCCCAAAAATTATGAACAAAAAATTTTAAAGAATCTAAAAGAAAAAATGAAATGTCAAGAGTAATTTTTTTAATGTGACTGATCCTAAAATTCTGTATTTTACTCTATCTTTAGCAACTGTGAAAGATAAGACACAGCACATCAAATTCAACTATCATATGGTTTCACTTGGTTCTTTTTAACAGTTTCCTGTAGTCAACAACAAGCTAAACCATATTAGTGGGAGAAATCAAAAGAAACATAAAACTCTAAAAGAAAAAGATATATATTCCAAAGAAAAAAAAACTTAAAAAAAAAAACCTAATAAAACACCCAAAATAAGAGCTAATTACTGTCTGGCAGAACTAATTAATGAAAAAAGAATTCAAAGCTGAATGAAAGCTTTATTACATCTCCATTACTATGGAATAACACCTTGAGGTACTTGTACAAAAAAAGCTGGCTTTTGTTCCTTTTTTTTTTTTTTTTTTGGAACAATGACTTCGGGGGATTTGTGTTTCTTTTTCCAAAAATTATACCTTAATAGTGTATACACAATAAATAAATGCACTATTAAGCTTTTCCTAAGACTCTTAATGATAATTTTCAAGAAAGAATCTCAAACTCAACTATAATGGTGGAAGAAGCTTCTATTTTTGAGAATACTTTGTTAATCCTATATAGCTATAGCCCAAGAGCCAGGATCTGACTTTCAAGTCCTAAAAAAGTCATTATCAAGAGGCTCTACTTTAGTCACGTAACTGCAAATTTGATCCAGGTTTCCTTTTCTAAATAGGGGCTATCAAAAAGAATAAAGGACCAGCCATACTTAACAATCTTTAAGTGTATGGGAAATACGATGTCCAAGTATAGCTCATTATCTGAGTGGGGTGTTTGGTTTGCCTTATCTTCAACAAATAGGGCAATACACAAAAATTAAGGCCCACTCAAACTTTTACATTTTCACTCAGAAAAAGAAGATGCTCAGATCTTGTGAATTACCTGTCCTGTTTCATAGGTAGCACCTATATTGCTGCTACACATCTGTGGAAGCACAATATCAGCCAACTGTTAATCAAGGATCACTTCCCTTCAAAGTGACTGATGATCCACTGTTAAAACAGCTTATAAAAATAACTTCTCCTTCGAAAAGGTGCTTCAGGGTTTTCAGACACATCTCACCATTCCTGCTAGCTTAATGCATGTTTGAAAGTTAATTTCTCATTAATATTTAAAGAAGTGGCTTCAGAACAAATTTTAAATGATCCATTACATTTTAGAAATAAAATATTATTGGCATTATTTTCATCTCGATTACAAGGAATAATAATGTCCAAGATTGGCTTTTAAAACTGTTAATGAGCCCTGGCAATGTGAAAAAGATATGGATTAGGTAGATGTAATGAGATATGATTAAAGGGTGCAGGCACTGAAGGGTGTTGGAGAAATTCTTTTCTGAAAGAGTATAATTAGTGTCTGATAAAAGTACTTAGTAGATAAGATTTTTGAAGAAGAAAGGTTAAGATAAACACATACTTTATGACAAACCTGCTTAATTTTTCCCCTTTGGTTCTCTTACGTACTCAATATTATGTTGAAGTTTCATACATAAATAATGTTTGTCAAATACTTCATGCAATTCTACCAGACAATTAGAGTGTTTTAATTGCCAGACACGGAGAGCAGAAAATGTGTTGAAACATCTTATTCCATTTTCAGTGTACATTTCTTTGTTGATTTATGTAATGTAGCTAATAATATGCAACCTACCCTAGTTTTAAACAAACAAATGAACTTCTAAAAAGCAAGCTTTCCATAAGTTGCTAAGCAACTCCAAAGGCACATTTTATCAATTTAATAAATAACATTTAGATGGCAAATCCTTAAGGAAAATTTCTAACTCTGTTTTATAAGAAGTAGAAAATCCAAGCAGGTACCCTTTTGATTTTCCTGTTTCTAAGGCCTCGGGGCTAGACAGAGGCACTGCTGTCTTCAGAGTGCAGTGGACTCACTAAACAAAACATTTTGTCAACTGAGGTTGTTATATAATAGAAGTTACGTTCTGCGACTCACTGTATTAGCTCTCCAGAGTTAGAGCTCATGCTTCATTTTGGACCAGGGAATTTGTTGCTGGGATGGGGGTAGGGTCTCCCATGTTTAGCGATATCTATCCCTGGCTTCTACTCCCTAGATGCCAGTAGTGGCCCGCTAGTTGTTAAAACTAAAAATGTCTCCGGACCTTGCCAAATGTGCCTGTGGTGGGGGCAGGGAGGGTGGTAGGGTGTCAAAATCACACCCAGTTGAGACAGTTGAGAACCACTACAGATGAATAATGCGTAAATATGCTGTGAGAAAGATATCGTGAGCTTAACTGGCGATGAAGATATTGTGATATTAGTTTCCATTAGTCAACACCTAACATCTCCTATAGAACCACCAACAATGAAGAATAAAGGAGTAGTACTGACTTTAGGAGTACTGTGGCTCTTGCTCCTTTCAAGGATCACTGTTGATTTTATCATTTCAATGTAATTCCCACTGTATAAAAATTGAGGAGAAAAAGTCTTGTCTTAGCCCTGTCTTTGTAGTAATATTCCAATCCAGAACTACCCCAAAATCTATTCCCGTACCCTTTCTCCCTCAATTCTTACTTTACTGGGTTGCTGGCCAGAGTCATTCTAAACATAAATCTTAATTTTAATAAAGCCATCCTCTGGCCATAGGGCCACAGTAGGTCTCTATCACTTCTACTATCAAATACAAACACATGTTGTTTAAGGTCTCCTACAAATTACCACCAAACCCCATCTTACCAAATATCTTTCTCATTCTCCATTTATACCACCTTTACTGCCTCAAAAACAAACAGCTTGTGTACGCTAATCTTCCTATGTGACACATAAAGGACAATTCATTTCCTCCATGAATGTTTTCCTAATTAATCCTTCCTTTATTTATCATCAGTGTCATATTTCTGTGAGAAGAATGACGTACTGCAAGTTAGTACATGAAGCAATTTTGTTTACTGAATGTTTTCAATATGTCAGACTCTGAATATTGCTTAATAGCTATTTCTATCAATTTATGTTTACGTTGTTTATGCTCAAGTAGATTGTAAGTTCCCAGAGGATAAGAACAGGCCTTATTTGCAGGCCTCTGATGCCTCTTAATAAAGACGCTAATAAATACGCCTTAAATTTGATTAGTAATTATAACCTTTCAAATTACTTTCATGACTGTCAACTTACTGGTTATATATTTTCACTATTTTATAGTCAATGAAGGTGGGGCGTTGAATACTTTTGGGGCTAGTCTATCGGTTACACAACTGGTGCTTAGCAGAACACGCATGTAATATATGCTGAGGGACTGAATTCAGTCTCACAACTTCACAACTATAACAGTTCTCTCCTGTTTCTAAGTCCTTTTGGCACTTAGAAACAAATGCTTTTGTAAAGAACAAGAACAGCTGAGTGACGCAGAAGACACAACACAGAAGTGAATTCAAGGTCTTCAAAGGTTAAATTATGACATAGCAGGGAAGCAAAAGAGAAATTAGTTACTGCCTCAAATTGGGTATAAGAGACTAACTTCCTAAGGCCTGGACCTCTCATCACAAAAAGCAAAACATTAAAAGGAAAAGCAAAACGGAAAGGAAAAGCCACAGAAGGGCTGATAAACCCCCAAAGTGTAAAAATCACGGCATTTTACTTCGTATATATGAATAAGTCCGAGAGAACATTTTCAACAACTCTAAGACACTTCCTTTCACTAGTTTTGGGAAGTCAAAGAAAGAAAGAAAGAGTATCAAAATCCCTATAAAAACCATTTATCGGGATCCCTGGGTGGCGCAGCGGTTTGGCGCCTGCCTTTGGCCCAGGGCGCGATCCTGGAGACCCGGGATCGAATCCCACGTCGGGCTCCCGGTGCATGGAGCCTGCTTCTCCCTCTGCCTGTGTCTCTGCCTCTCTCTCTCTCTCTCTCTCTGTGACTATCATAAATAAATAAAAAAATTTAAAAAAAAAAACTTTAAAAAAAAACCATTTATCTATCAAACTCTTAACTTGTGTCCACAAAACACAAGTCAGAGATCAGCCGATTTCTAAGGTGCTCAGGTGCTCACTACCCCTTACCACCATATGCCCAAAGAGGCAGCAGATTCATTCATTCAGTAATTCTTTGACATTTGTTGCATGCCATGCCTCCTAGGTACAGAAACTGGTGAAGGCCCTGGGGGGGAACAAAGATGCCTGAGCCTTAGCTGCTGATGTGAATTTGTCCAGGGAATTCAGAAAGGGGCAGGTGATCTGCAAAGAGGGGGGAAAAAAACAAACGGTTATCTTCAATGGGCCTTTCTCTCAACCTCTGGCCCTCCTCCGCGTCACCTCCCACAGGGGCTAGCGACGACGACATGACAGGAAATCCGTAATAAAGGAGAAATGACGGGAACAGGCCAAGGCCCCAACTGCTAGAGCCAGGCCTTCCAAGCGGCCTCCTCCAGGCCCCGGGGCCACGTGTCTGGGCGGCGGAAGTGCCCGGTAGCCGCGGGTCAGGGAACCCGCGGGGACCGGAAGTGCAGGCCCCGGAGCGCGGGAGACCTTGCCTGAGGCAGGGTTGGGCCCTGGAACCCAGGGCTTTCGAGGCCTCTGGGGCTTTCTCTCACCGCAGGGTCCCACCACATCCTACGGGCTTCCTGCAAAATGGGGACTTTTGAGCTCTTCCCAAGAGGCTCCTGAGTGTGGCTGTAACCCGGACGCGCGCCGCGCGGGGAAGGGGCCGCGCTCCTCGCCCAGCTCCTCCCGCGGCGCCGCTGCACCCCGCCCCCACGGCGCTCGGCTCGAGTCACGCGGGCGGCGTGCGGGTGGCGGGGACGCCGGCCCGGCCCGCGCGGCCGAGCGGCGCCCCCCTCCTGGGAGGGCCTCGAGGACCCGAGTGGGCGGCGGGCCGTCGGCCAGCAGGCGCTCCGGGGCGCCGCGGCTCCGCTGGGGCGCTGAGTCTGCGTGGGGGCCAGGGGCTCGCGTGCGGGCCGGGCCGGGCGGGCGGGCCGGCCGGGGCGGGGCTGCGTTCTCGCCGCCCTCCCTCGCGGAGGCCGCGGCCGGGGCGGCGGGGCTGCTGCGGCCTCCGCGGACGCCCCGGGCTGGGGCGGCGCTGAGGCCGCGGCTGCGGGAGCCCGGGCGGGGGCGGGGGGGGGGGCGCGGAGTGCGCCGCGGGGCGCTCTTCGCGTGAACTTGGTAAGAACCGCGGTGTCTCCGGGACGTCTATGCCGAGGGCGGAAGGGCAGACAGACACCCGGGGTCTCACGGCGTCTTGCCCGACCCCGGGCTGCTTCGGAACTCTCGGCGCGGCCTGCCCGTGTGGGAGCCAGGGGAAAGGGGGCGCAGCGCCTCCCCCCCGCCGCCCCTCCCCCTCCCCCTCCCCCTCCCCCTCCCCCCGTCTCCCGCTCCCTCTTTCTCTCCCCGGGGGCAGAAGCGCCCCTCCCCCGCCCCCTCCCCCGCCGCACCTCGCGGAACCGTCTCAGGAGTCCCCCGTCTGTGTGTCACGAAACGCAGAACGACCACGGCGTTCCACCCCGCGCCCCCGCAGGCCGACGGAGAGTGTCTCGCTGGTCTTGATATAAAGAACATTCACCGCAACTGTTTGTTCCCCAAGGCGTGACGGGGAGACTCTCCCGACCGGCAGTCACAGTCGGTGCCGAAGGCCGATGGAGCCGCACGACTTGGTTAATGAGATCACTTTTAAAGCTCTGCTTAGCCCAGTTTCTCTGGAAATTCAGTCGTGTGAGCAAATAGCTTTCGAGATGGATTTTCACCACGTTAAACGTAGGACTTCTCACTCTGTACGGTTTTCGAATGCCCCAAAATGAAATGGAAGCCCTAGGGCATCTTCCAAAGGTCTAGAGGAACCCTGACTCCCCTTCCCCTGCACTGCCCGCCCGCTGGGATCAGTGGCCACAGAACCCAGGACCCTATAACGAGTTATAATTGATGAAAGGGGGAGGAGGGAGGGAGGAGAGGAGAGAAGAGAAGAGAAATGGAAAGGAGAAAAAAAAATAACATTTGTGTTCATTTACACATTTCCTGTGCGGAACAAAAAAGTCCCACCATCAGCAAAAGAAGTCTCTTCCTCCAAAATAGCAGCCAAAGAGGGAAAATTAGAATATGCATAAATTCCTTCATTTTCATTCGCACAGAGCATGATTTCCGGCAGATTTGTATTTAAACTGCTCGATTAATCCCAATTTCTGAACAGCATTTTACTTAGCGTCTTCCCAAAACTCACCTAAAGAATATTACTCTCCTCCCACCACCCTGCTTTTCAAGCTTCCCTCTTCCCAATTCTGCAACTGTCAATGAGAATTTCATTGATAAGACTGTACCTTTATTTTTCCTGTCCACTGTTTTCAAAACTGTGGATTGATGCGTTGGACCACACTTTAATACAAACTGGCTGCTGTCTGTGAGCCATGACTGCAAACGAAAGCTAGTGGAAAGGATATGTTTTTGAAACGTGCACCTGAAAGAGACTAAACATGATAGGACCAATGGCTTTTGCAGCTCCTCTCATGGCACAGGAGAAGGTACCAAAGTCTTTCCTGTCCTACACAGGTCATAGCCTTTCACTAGTAGCAATAGTTAGGATGCGTGAACTCGTCTGACCCCACACCTTCCCCTCTACCAATTGCCCATTTTTAAGGGAGCATGATGGACAATCATGACCCTCTTCAAAGAAATATTACCTTTTACAAATACTCCAAGTGTGTTAGTCCATTAAATCCCCCCCCCCAGCCCATTTCTAAAATATTTGCTTTGCCACTTGTGCAACAGATTTGGCTGCATCTGCCTTGTAAAGTTCTTTGTTGAAAAAAAAAAAGTTAGCATCATTTGAAACCATTCCTTTCAAAACATCGTCACTTGACTTGGCCTTACCTTTGCTATCTTTGAAACTTGGTGCGTATATGTTTTTTATTTCATAGTAGGATGTTAGTGTTTAAAGAATGAGATGACTACATCTTGGTTTATTGAAAGCACATATAGATCATAATTCCATTCATCCCTAAATTCCTTATTCTTGCAACACCCCAAGACAGAAAGAAACGTATATTTGCTTCTTAATACAGTCTAAGCAGAATGTAGTGGTTCTGGCTTTCCTTCATTGTTTATGGATCATGAACTCCAATTACTGGTGGTTAGAAAGTTATAAATGCTAATATCTGTTTAGTTCTTAGTTTCTATAAAAAATGGACATACGTATTTGAACTACATGCAACATCCTATATATAATGTGTATGTATGTATAAATACGTGACCAATTAAATATCTGGGTTATGTTGGTTAAAGACTTTTCAAGATATGAATATAGAAGCCTATTAATTTTGATAAATAAGTGCAAAAACAGTGCATACAACTGTCTACATGACTTTTACTAGTTTGTGAAATAACTGCTTTCGTTGTATCTTTACTTTGTATTAAAAATTCCCATTATAAAAGTATTAATTTAGTGTCTTTTAGTTAGGCATGTCTCCAATGACTCAGAGGTTCTTGGTTATATACAATTAAAACTACAGTGTTTGAAAATAAATTCTTAAAAGCCATACTTTGAGAATATATGTAACAGGATTGAGGGGACGTTTACTGGAAATAGTGATTTCTTGTAATTTTTTTAATCGAAACAAATGGCAGTTGTCTCTGGATCAAAGGAAAAATTCAAGTAAAATCACAATAACTGAAATTATTTTCCTTAAAATATTCTTTTAATTAGAACTGGGTTTTATATGGAATGCTCCAATTTGATTTCGAGTTGCAGAGCTATATACTTCCAGAAGCGTTGAAGTGAACTTAGTAGTTATTAGTTATTATTAACGCACAGAGAAAGCCTGGGGTACCACTGAGGAGCAGAGCAAGATGCCGTTTCAGCCAGTCGCCTTCCTCCCGTTGGAGACTGAGCATCACCCCAGTGAATTTATCCCTGTGAGTGAAAGCTCCTCAGTCTTTGCCGATCTTTCCTGAAATAATATTCTCATTAACTGGAATATTTTCATACTTTTGAAGATGAAGAGACTAGACAGAAACTAAAAAGGATTGCTCAGTCTCCCTGCTGTGAAAGGTGCAGAGATAGATGCCTGGTACCACCACCAGCAGGCAGGCGGGACCTTCTTTTCTTTCCCTTCCCTTGCTTCCTTCAACTACTCTTTAGTTATGGACTGTGCACATTTGTGAAGTTGAAGACAGTATCTAAAGAAAAAAGTTTTCTAGAGGACGAAACTGGCTATTCATAGTTATGTCTTTGTTTTGTGATTTGTTTTTTGGCAAGGCATACAGATCTTATTTTCTCATAAATGTTCAGGGCTACGTTGATTTGCAAGGAAAACAGAACAAAGCATAAAGATCTAATAGTCACCCTTCCCTGCTCCCAGTCCATTCTTCCATAACTGAGGTCTGTTTCCATTTGGCCTCAGCTGCTGGGCTGCTAAGGAATTTCTATCTCAGTCCTGCTCTTCTTTCCTATAACACTGCCCTTCATCTCCTAACCAGCTTTCTTTCCCCTCCACAAATGAAGGCAATTATCAAACAACCTGCTTTAATCCCAACATCTGCCTGACAAACATTGAGTCTCATTCCCTCCCCACCCGATTTTTATTTTCTTTCATTTCCTTTTTCTTGGGGCGGGAGGGGGATGGGTGCTTAGGAGATGGGGAGAACATTCAGCTGAGAGGAGTTAGATTCCTGTAGGTACAAACTCACTGGCAGATTCTTTACAGCCCAGACTCAGGAACTGGTGGCTGTTCTTGCACGTAGAACAGTAAACCTTGGTAGGTTTACAAATGACAAAAGCACCTCTACCTCCTCCTAAGGAGACAGGCTTAGTGTTACTAGCTGGATCACCACTAGCTATGAACATCTTCAACCTGGTTTCTTCCTTTCACTTCTACTCCCCTCATTTTATTGGCCCCTTTCTGTCCCTTCATCCCGAAAGGAATCAAAAGAGTTCATCAGGGGGACCTAATTCTTGATTTTTGTGTCTTGCCCTTTGGGCTGAGTTCCTCAGGGCCAGTGTTCTCTTTAGACTCACAGGAACCTCAGTTACTTTGTCCTTCTGAAACTCCTCAGCTTTGTGAACGTGATTCCTAAATATGACAACTTGCCCATTTATCAGCAGAGTTCCAGCCAGAAGGCACCAGGTCTTTCTACCCAAGAATCCCTTCACATGTCTGCCTCTGTTTCCAGTCTGCACCCCAGACTGATTTACTTGGGAATGGTGTCCGAAGGGGACATGCCTATAGCAATGAAGAGGAATGGGTACAAAAGCGCCTAGTGCTATTAAAGAGACCTACCATATTAGACCAAAGGAGTCTTTATAAGAACACTTGAGTTGGGCTGGAATGGATCATCCATCTAACCAGGGAAACAAGAAATCAGAGGAATGCCCGTTGCAGCCATGAAACACATTTCAGACTGAAATGGATTCCATCTTCATCCTGTCGACCAGAGAAATTATTTTAAAATTGTTTCTGCTATTATTGCTTGCATTATTATTAACATTTTATTTCTGTCATTATTGCTGCAGTTTTTGTTATTTTATTTCTGTTGTTATTGCAGCTATTATACTATTCAACAGAAGTTTAGAAAGATTAGTCAGATTAATTAGTTTATTGGTAATTTAAAGCTGAAAACTGGTAATTAAGCCAAAAAACTAAAAATGATCAGGGATGATTCATACCAATGTAGGATTTGGGAGGAAGAGAGTCTAAATTTTGGATATAAAACTTGGCAGCTGTGAAATAAACAGGACTTGGGGATCAAAAATATGATAATTGAAACATTCTTAGTCACTCAACCTCTCCCCCTCCTCCAAATTCAGCTAAGATCATTCTGTGATTTGCTTGATAGAGGAAAAATACTATATTTGCTTTTGTTGACAGAGAACAAAGACCCCATGTTTATTCTTCATGTGATTTGCATTTGCACGTGGATTCCCTTGCTTAGGACCATCCAAATATCTAAGCTCACTCCCCTCCAAGTTTGCCTCTCTTTGCTCTTGTTATGCACCTCACTGGAGAGGGTGCATCATATAAGACAGGTATACAATTTCAGCCCTCTCCACAGACAGATTCTGTGGAATATAAATTCAATAATGCAATTCTCTCCACAACAAGCTCTCTGCTCTCTTTCAAATATAATTAATGTTTTGATAGTGTAGTTCTTTAACTACATATATACACACAAAAACAGACGCACCCTCTAGCTTTGCTGTTTGTGCATTTAAAACAGACATGGATGTGGCTCTTTCAGTGACTCCTAAAATTCCTCAACTCAGTCAGCCCACAGAGAAGAAATCTGTTTAGGTAATAACTGCACAGTCCGTTGTGTGCCCAGAAATATTTAAAACAATAAAAAATGCAAGCCCCTAGTTTTTGATAGTCATTTTTTGTCAAATTTCCTAGAAAATAAAGGATTTTCGGAATTGATATTCTGATAGAGACATTCACTAGATAACAGTCAAAATCAACAAAAACACAGTCCTAAACTACTGGTTGTCTTTTCCAAGTTTTGATGATGGAATCTGAATTTCAATACCTTCCATTTTATCCAGTCGGTGCTAAATTAACACAGATGTATAAAAACTAGCAGCCAAAATAGACAAAACTACAATGACTTCCATAGAAATTGCTTACTCCATCAAACACCTCAGTCATGTTTTAGGTGGATTATTTCATTTAATTGCAATTGGTCGTATGTTAACATATTCATATGTGAAATAGATGGTCAGAAAGAAAGATATGTCTATGACAATATGGCTAGTAGGAGTTAAGTGAGCAAACGCTGCTAACTCCCATATTCAAGTGTGCCATATCCCTAACATTTCATTTCTACACGCTGATTACAATTATTAGAGGACAAATAACCTTTCAGACTATAGAACGTGATATATTTTCAGACTTTAATAAAGAAAAATACATAACCTGTAATACTTAATCCAATGAAAATATAAACCTTAATCTTCCCATATTGTTACTGAGTTGAAGAAGCTAGTTATTGGGGAGTAACACACTGATTTCCAAGCATCTTGGCCATTTTGTTTTACTCATGAGTGTGTATGAGGTGCTGGCAGGGGAAGGATTTTACACATTTCTCTTCACCAAATTTTTAGAGAGAATATGTAAAAGGGATTTCTTTTACATCTTTTGTGGTTTAATTTTCTTACTCTTCATGTAGTATTTGGTGTTTGGAATTGTGAAAGAAGATAAAATAATGAACAAGGAAAGGAGAACATGTGGCTGATTCCAAGTAGATCGTTTAACTGGATGGAAAGAAACAAAAATATTTTCCTAGTGCAGTTGTGCAAAGAAAGAGAAGAGTGTGTGATCTGTCAAGAGCTCACTTGTGCTTTTTGTTATTGTTTTAGATGGTGGCCCATCAGGGTTCCTTTCCCATTACTTTCCTTCAAATTGTTTTTCTTAAGAGCATAAAATGTGGAAACTACTTGTCCCTTCATTCTCTCACAGGCTAATATTTAACAGCAAACATTTTAGTTAAATTTTCAATAGGAAAAGTTTTTACAGGTACAGAGATTGTCAATACAGAAGCAAACTACCAATCCCAGTTGGTTAGTTAAGTGAACTTGATTATTTGCTTGTAGTGAGCTATAAAATTTTAATATAAGATTTTTTTTACAATATTGTGAGCTATCAAAAAGAAATCCTCCCTGAGACTTTTTATATTTGTTCTGATTTCTTCCTCGTTTTCCCTTTTGACATGACTACTTCTCTGACTCTCAAATGAGGTTTCCTTTGGCTCAGATTAATATTAAAGAAGATCACATACACGGTTGGAAAATATTGTTATTTTTCTTTAATGGGGAAAATTGGACTCCCGCGTGTCAGATCTGTGGTTTTCCGAAGGGCATTGGAAATGGTACTGACATCACTTTGCACTTTAACAATCGGATTTGGTCAGGGTACAAGTTGTTTGTTTAACCCGACAGCTCGGTGCACTCCGTCGCACGCTTTGCACACTCATTAAAATGATTATTCACGACCTGTCGAGTGTTTTCGGGTTCATTCACAGGAAAGGCTTGGAGCAAGCGAGAGCAATTCAAGTCAACACTGTCCACTACCCCGTGCACGTGAGGATGAGCTGGTGCGTGCGTAAAAAGACGGAGGGAGGGGTGGGTGAGCACGCCTAAGCTATAAGTCCTGCTCTTCCGATGCTCTGGAATTTCAATCACGAAAGAATGCCAAGAGTGCTTGGTCGTAAAAGGCTATGTCGCTGTGTTAATTTCAAGGGCTTGGCACAGGACAGAAAAATAAAATAAACCAAATAAACAAACTCAGATCTCTCCCTCCACTCCTCCTTTCAACCTTCTGCAAAGCTTGAGGTCCCTGGGCTCGCCCACCTTCCGCCTGCAGCTGCCGGACTCTGAGGCTCCACCTCTCACTTCGCGGACGCTGAGGATAAGTAGTTTTCAGGAAAACTCGTCCGGGTGAAGAGATTAATTCTCTTTCCATCTCCCAAGGCCCTCTGATTCTCAAGAAAGAATTCGGTTGCTTTTCCTTTCTACATCTCTCTCAAATACTGGAGGGGGTGGCGGGAGTAGGGGGTGCGAGAGATGGAAGAATATGACTGTTAACCATATTTGGTAGATGTCTTCCAAATTACTAGGAAAGAAAGACTCATCTTCCAAACTGCAAGAAAAATCCTATAAAATGAGGCGTAAATAGCCCTTGATAAATTAGACCACTTTTTTTTTGAATTTTCAAGTCCTCTTTCAACATTTTGTGATGATAATAAGCACAAACACAAATGAATCTCAATTTCTCACAATTGCCAGTACCTATGAAAGACGCACCCCGTGGTCCTTAGCTGTTGTATTTGTTCAAATGAGCCCTGATATATAACACTGACATGTGAGCTATGAGTTCAAGATAAATGCCCATCTTTCTAAGGTGGGATCGTACATATACGCTAAATAACTAAACAGATGAGTGTATATATGCATTTGATATATACTGAAGAATTCTGGAATATCCTGTTCAGCATGAGTACCCCCGTCAACAACTTAAAGTTAATAACTGTTTTAAAACAATACCATTTCTATATTCAGATCCGGCCGCCTCTTCATTTTTCATCTACATCCTTAGTACACCCAGCGGCCAGCTTATTGTTATGAGAAAAACCTAGTCATGCCAACGGAAAAAGACATGGCTCACTCGTGGGTTTCACTCTATCATATCTGATATAATAAAATCATCTGTTTTTCTATTTTATTGAACATCAATACAATATGTGAAGAGAAGAATGGAAGTTTTCAAGTAGCATGAGGTTTTAATAAGAAAAAGATTTCTAATTGCTAAAAAAGCAAGTATGAAGAAGTAATTTTGTAAACTCTTTGGGTTGCCGGAATTCACTATCAAGTTTACTTAAAAGTGATCTGTCAAATGTGTTTCCTGTATAAGTTCTTTCATTAAAACCCAACCTGCAATAATAATCAAGAGGCAGATGCTGAAATATGTAAGTAAATAGCTGAAAGTCTCTGCATAAATAAACACAAATCAATGCTGTAATAGACAACACTATCGATGTAGGGATGATCGATTTTAGTCTTCCAACCTGCAATCAGAGCTTGCAGTGTATAATTAAAAGTAAAATTTTCAACTCTACTCCTACTACTACCGGGAAAACAAACAAACAAACAAACAAACAAACAAGCCCTGCTGCTAGTTCTACCTGATGCTACTTTATTCCATCCAGAGTCTTTCTGAAGAGGTGGGAGAAGTAGTCCACTATTTCTAAGAAAGCCTTATCAAACTTGAAAACATTACTAATTATAAAAATTATAAAAGTATCAAATAATAAAATTACTTCCCTTTTTTTGTCCTGATTTTCTCAACCTTTATCATAAGCCTCCAATTATTCAGCACATTTTACTAGGAAAAACACACAACAGTGCTTACTATTTTAAAATATTTTTCCCCCAACTACTATGATACTTTGGGTTTAAAGATTCTTTGGTCCTTTTGATAAAACAAACAAGAAAAATGTAATTTTCTCCATATACCCTGAAGCTCTCACACCTATGCCTGCATATACAAGCAATCTGAAACAAGAAACGGAGTGGGGGGGGGGGAAGCATCTGCGTTATTCCAAAACTGTTTCATACAATGATTGCAAAACAGTGTCTGACTGAAAGAAATAAATATGCCTCGGATTTCTAGAAATCCGCATCTAGAATGGTTCAGATTTTGCTTAACATTAAATTTCCTTTTTGAGACTATTTATCCTTGGAGGGCAGAATTAATTTAGATTACCAAGAACCAGAGTATGATGATTTTGAATATTTACATTCTGAGGAGTAATGAAAATACAGTGTTCATATTTTTTCCTTAATCAACAAAGATGCTTATTTACATTCATTCTTGAATTTCTGTGGTCTTTCTGGAGCTCGGGCCTTTAAAAGAATTTCTTAGTTACGAAAATCAGCTTCTGTGAAAGTGACTTCTCTTACACAGTGGCACCTAAATATGGGTTTTGATCATATTACTATGTGACCAAGCATTCTCTGACTCCTCTCCTTCCCATCCAGGGGCAACCAGACCCAAATGGAAAATATCATCAGTTATTGTTTAGGGCTAATTTAACAGATAATTTAACTTCAAACAACAATGATCAGGTCATTAAATTTCAGAGCATTGAGAAAATGAAAGAACCGAGAAACAACTCTCCCTAACTCCTCTACAGTTTTTGGTTTTTCTGCCCAATCAAGGGCACCAACAACGTCTGCTCTACAGACTCGGAGTGTTTGCACCTTAAACGTGTTCTGATTCAAAGGATGAGACACAAACGGAGAGCAGAAAGGGGGGTGGGGTGGGGTGGGATAGAACTGAAGAAGACAGCCCAATTCAGGGAGTGCCAGCCCTGTAGGAACATTCAACCTGAGGCGAAAATGAATAATAACCAAACTTGTCTGGCAACGGAACACTGTTTCATTCGGACACGAGCCCCCGAATCTCGGACGTGCAATGTGCTTTCCTCCCGTGTAGCTTCTCCGCAAGGCCAAAGACGGGGGAAGAGGATCACACGGGTTAAGCAACAGACCACCTCTCACCCCCACAGACATAATTTTGAGTTATTTGATATGATTTTAAAAGCCTTTTCTGATGACAACACTTTGGAGATTTCTGCCTACCTCAAGTGTTAATAGACGGCCAGTTGGGGATGGAGTTAGAGAATCAAAATTGGTGGTGGTGGTGGGGGGGGGGGAGGGCAGTTGGACGCGGTCCCCTTCCTCCCGTCCTCTTCCCAAGCCTGAAGATCACCACCAGAGAATCTTCCCGGGCTCACTCGGGATGCCCTCTGCCCACCCAAACCCCAGCCGCCCTCTCTCCAAGTCCAGGGCCACCCTAGAGTTTAGGTGACGACTGTCCCCAGGCCAGCACTTTTTCCTTTAGGAACCCTTCACCTTGGACCACAGGCTTGGACAGAAGGAAACATGGGGTAGAAAGCGAAATAGAACAGAAAGGAGTGGAAAAGAGAAAAGATGTCTATGACAGAGAAAACAGTTTTACCAACTAGCAGATGAGTGCTGAGATCTGAAACCGCACCAGGTAAACACAAAGAAACAACCTGGGGGGGTGGGGGGAGGAGGGATGTGTGTGTGTGTGTGTGTGTGTATGGGCGGGGGACAAGAATGAAAAAGAAAAAAGGTGGGGAAGCGCGCCAGCCAAGGCTGTGGAGTCAGTTTTCCTGGCCTCAGCCAGTGTGAACGACCCAACTCAAAGCTCGGCTTGTCCTGGGCAAGAGCGCCCTCACCTTGTTGCTCCGGCTCAGCGCGGGGCTGCCCGTCCGCCCGAGCCGCGGCCGCCGCTTCCCGAAGCGCGCTCCTCCCTACCCGGCTCCCGGCCGCCGGCGCCGCCCCGACTCGGCAGCCTCGATCCCTCTCCTGCGAGATTCCCGAGCCCCGGGACGCCACGCCGCCGGGGCCCTGCCGCGACCGCTTCTAGCCCCGCCGCCGTGCGCTTCTCCGACTTCACCCAGGAGTCCCCGAGGCGCGCGAAGGCTACGAGGGAATCGGGGCGAGGGCCCCGAATGCGCTCCGGGTGCAGCTAACCTGTGTCTGGTGCGCTGCGGGCACTCCCGGGACAGCCAGGCTCCTGAGCTCACACGGCCGTCTCCTAAGTGTGCATTAAGAATCAATTATTTGCCTGAGATTCCCAAAGCCGGGAACTGGGATATTCCCATCAGGGACAAAGTCAAGCCCAGAACGGTGCGCTTTTCCCCAGTCCTCCGAACAGGAGGAGAAGCCTCCCTCCGCAGTCCCGCCGCACTGTACCTGGAGCAGTTCCGCTAGATCCCGCGGGGACCCTCGCCTGACCCAGGCCACGGAGCTGGGGGCGGAGGGCCGGCTCTGGGAGAGGTTGGCAAAGTTAGTGTGAAAATAGGGGGAGGAGGGGCGTTCTACCAAAAAAAAAAAAAAAAAAAAAGAAAAAGAAAGAAAGAAAAGAAAAGGAAAAAAAGAAGAAGAAGAAGAAAAGGTGCGGGGAGGGGGGAGAAGCAGCAAAGAAAAAAAAAAAAAAGAACTTTGGATCAGGGAGCTTTGTCTCAAATAGGGAGAACAAATGCCTGACTTTGAACGGTAAGAAAGGTCCGTTACGGTATCCTGGAAGCTGCGGCAAGACTAAGAAATCTTATTTCCACGAATTGAATCACTCTGCACTTTGGGACCTATTTCAGCCTCCCCCTACCCCTCTCCTCCTCTTAAATTGGACTCGTTTTCTCTTCATCCCTCTTTGCCACGTCTTCGTCCTCCTCTTTACTTAGGGATCCACGGTGACTTTCCGCCGACGTGGAAAAACCATGCATTCTCTCTCAGCTACTTCTGTGCATAGCGCGCCCGCTAAGGAAATTTAAAAAAAAAAAAAAAAAAAAAAAAAGAGGAGCACTTTAGCCCCGGGCCTCAAAGTCGCGGTTGAAGCCTTAGTCAAAAAGCAATCTGACGTAGCCCTCCTCCCTCCGAAAAGCACTTGCACTTACCAGTTTTGGGGTAAGAGCGTCCCAGTCCATCATCAGTCTTTTTCTTCGGCATCCTTCGGCCAACACCAGGCAGAGTCTTGAGTGAAGGGGGGGAAAAAAAAGAAAAAAGAAAAAAAAAAAAAAAAGAAAAGAAAACAAATAGAAATCGGAAGGGAGAAAAGAGACTCAAGCACAACACTACATCATATTCCCTCGGAGCCTCTTTGGCCTACATCCTCGGGACGAGGTGCGGGGCGCACTGACCACTAGAGTGGGGAAAAGGTCGGTTTGGGGGCCAAAAAATAAGAGGTGGATTATTTTAACTGCTGGTGGCTGGGGGGAGGGGAGGCGGGGGTGGGGAGAGGAGGGAAAGGGGGATAACTGGGATGGGAACACGCAAAAGTAAAACACGCGAAAGAAAATCGAGAATGAAAGCGCCTTTGAACTCTTACAGGTAGGTAGTTCTTAGGAAGAATGCAGACGTGTGTTCGCGCGAAAGGAAAATCTAGATGACCCCTATTCTTTCCACATCTCCAGAATCTGGCCTCAATTGGCTTCAAGTGGGGAGGGGGGAGAGGGGAGAATTTTAATTCAAGTTTCACCTACCCCGCTCGTTGGAATGGCTGCGCAGATTTTCACGTTGGAGAGTTCCATCTGTCTGGCAGAAGCGGTGTTGGGGGCAGGTTATCTGGTGAAGTAGGAATGTACAGGAACCCCGCCCTCTAGGCACAGTTATACAACCCCAGCAACCCATCTCAGCCAGCTCTAAAACCTCTAATGATCTTCACCTTCACCCTTTGTTAGCCTATTTCTCCAGCAGGCATTTGGTTCCAAACACAACTAGCCACTTCAGATATTTATAAAATTGATTTCTCAAAAGCAAAAAGTATTTCAACACAAGCAAATTCCCCAACAATGTTGTAGGAAACACACTTTAAAAAAAAAACAACAACCCACATTTATATATTTAAAGCTCTAAAGATATTCAATTTATCCACCTATTTGGGTGAACTATCCATCAACTTAAATATATACAATTATATCAAGACACTGCAAGACTCATTTTTTTTCTCTCTCTCTACAACTTGATTTTATGCAAGTCATATAAGCCACGTGAAATCTTTCATTGCCACAAAGCTAATTGTATTAAATCTTCTTAGTTCTAGACTTCACGTTCACTTGATTTCCAATTTTGTAACAAGTTGGAGAAACATATTTGGAAGAGTTCTCTCACTGCTTTTGTTTGAACCATTTTCTCAATGTTTTATATATTAGTCTGTATTAACTTTGTATCAGACACGTTCAAGTAAAATACTTTAAACCTGGAGATAAACTGCAGTTTGGGATTTCAAGTTTTAAGTTATGATCGTTTTCAGTTCCAAATCTCAAAAAGAGCAACCCTTCATCTCATTAAAAATAATTATAAGTATGAAAGAAGAAAAGCTTCAAAAAGTTTTGAAGTGCTTTTCTGGCATAAGCTAATTTTTAACTGGCAAAGGTTGGTGACAACAAATATCAACACAACATTACAACCAATTTGTTGCAAAAAAAAAAAAAAAAACAACAGCAACAATTAAACACCATGCTAGAACACTGTACGTTTTTGAAAAAGATAACTTGAGAGATGATAGGACAGATTGAGATAAATGAAACGTTCATATTGGGCTTCAGGAGGCCTTCGCAAATTTCTCTCTCATACATCCTCCCCCCCTATCTTGTATGCCTATTCAACAAGCTATTCTTACTTCTAGTTACATCCATTATCTATGTTAACTTGGGAGATGTATCCAAATAGAACTTCCCTTCCAGTCCTTAGGTCCTATGAGTTCAAAGAAGTCAATTTTATGCTTGACCTCAGAAGTTTGCCATTGAAATTTGATTTCTCAATCATGCAAATAAACATTTATCACAAAAAAGTATACTTATTTAATATGGCCAGAAAAAAAAAAAAAACACCTCATGGAGGAACTCGTTCTTCTGAGTCTATGTCCCCTTTACCACAATACAAGAGTTCAACCTTCTTTTTAACTTTTTGATAGGCAAAGGACTATTTCTTCTGTGGCAATACATTCTCATTCCACAAAGTCCATGGTAAAAGCAAACAATACATCATCACCTTCTTCAGCCTAAACACATGCTTTTCTTTGAGCTGTTTTGGTTCACATTTATATAAGGGGGATTTCCCTTGCCTAACCTCACTCACTTGGACTCTTATTACTATTTTTAATAGTAATAAATTTGGCTTCTAAAACAACTTGTTTGTGGAATTTTCTTTCATGCTTCATTCTGAAGAACTGTTACATTTCAAGAAAGCTGGACCTCTGGCGAAACTGCTCTTTTACTAAGAAAACAAAATCGTGTCCGGTCTGCTTAAAGGAGATAATTAAACTAGCTGTCTTGGTCTATTTTAGTCAATTTCCCATTTGTGTATATTTGGTTCCAGCTCTTTTAATTTTCCTGAACTTTATCTACCTTTCTCAGATAGCGTTCTCTTTCTCTTTCTTTCTTTTTGGTAGTGGGAGATGCTCCCCCCGCCCCCCCCTCCCCGTCCCCAAATATCTTTTCCTTTCTTCTGTCTTCTTCTGTCTCTCCCTTCCACAACCCATCCATCCCTATGTCCCAATATCAGAACTATTCTGCATTTCTATTTCAACCTATTTGAGTCCGCTTGCTTCTCTCCTAGGCTTTTTTTTTTTCCCCCCTTTTTCCTGAGCAACTCTCTAAGTGTTTGCCGATAACATCTTGGGGACAGATTATTTTTCATTGGGCCCATTGTAAGAAGTAGCCAGCTTATTGCATTACTGCAGAACACATTTCAGACTATACAATTGTAACAAATGAACAACTTGTCCTCCATAGACTCTCCACAGGATCCAATTAGTTACTAAACCTTTTACTTAGGTTTTCTAATTATTTTCTGCAGTCACAGCAATTGAGATGCTGAAACAATTCAAAAAATGTTTTCATTTTGTTTCAGATTGATATATATGCATATAATATGCATGCATATGTATACTGTAAGTTAAAGCAAAATTATGACTAAGCAAAAGGAACAAACCTCTAGATTAAATTATACAGACATTTAAAAGGGAATCAAATAAATACCTCTATGTCGTAAAAATGAAAGAAAAGGAGAGAGAGGCATTTTACTTCTGAACATCTAGAATTTTAAGTTGTTATAATTAAAAATAAAATATAAACATTGATCTGCAAGTCATTACAACAGGTGATCACTTCAGTAAATCTATATTGCAACTTCAGCACATCTTTATTAGAACTCTTTCATTGTGGGTAAACAGCCACAAAAATAAATGCTGACTTAGAAAGTATAAATACAAATATTTAAACAAAAATATTTGCAGCATTCATAGCGCAAATTGTACCTGAACTGAAGGGCTCTGTGTGTTTATATATATATATATATATATATACACACACATATATATACACACACATATATATGTATATATATGTATATATATATTACATATGTGTGCATTATATTCACTTCTATCTAACCATATACATATATTTATTTATAATTTGCCAAATGCTATAAACAAGATACCTGAAACAAAATATATAAAAAGTAAGCATTCTATCAACTGATTTGAAAATAAACACAAGGTAAAATAGCTATGCACATAAAATCATAATTTTTTTTTTGCTGTATATCTACAGAGACTTGAAGATACCAGCTGAAAAGCCTGTAATTTCTTTAAAGCTAGTGCTTATTAAATAGCCTGCTCCTTGTAAAATTTGATTCCACAATGGGGAAAAGAAAAAGTATTTTATTTTATTTTTTTGAAGTCTCAATTCAAATGAAAGGAGCAGTTAAATTTTAGTTGGCCGAAAAAGCCTTTGAATTCCCTAGGACTTTAATGGTCTTTTAAAAATTAGCTCTATTTAATAAAAGAGACAAAAGTATCAAGATATATATGAATTTAGCCTATTTTTTATTTCTGTGTGTTCATAGTAAACATTTTTGTAAGTGACAAACACGGGCATATGACCACAGTATCACAATCAAGAAATTTTAAGACAACATTAACAATCACTCAAATTTATGCGGCATTTGCGCAACACAGGTTACATATTTGCAAGGTTTACCTATAAGTACAATAGGTATTAACATTTCACTACATTTAGAAAAAATAAAAGTGACCTGTTAGTGACCACATACATCAAAATATACACAACACAAACTGAAGGCAATCATTAATTTTGTCCCCTTCTGATTCATTTGAATGGGCAGTGCTGCCAACTGAAACAACTTTCCTTTTTTTTTTTTTTTTGTGGTTTTTTTTTTTTTTTTAATACTTAGCATACCAAGTGCATTTTAGAACCCAATCTTTGGTCTAAAAGTAAACAAAAGGAAAAAAAAACAGTTTTTTAAAGAAAAGGACAAAACAATAAATGGCCAAAATAATTTCTTGGGCACCTTTACTACGAATGCTTCTTAAATACAAATTACAGTTGAACATTTTAAAACTCTCCCCATAATTTAGGCTGTTCTCAAGGTCTGCGTCCACCATAAAGATCCATGATAACTTATAATACTGCACACATGGAAATCTGGCGGCTCTTAGAGATAGACTTGTCAGGTTCGAATGAAATGGCAAAGCAGTCACTATTTAGATACACATTTCTACTATAATTTTGACTTCCAAACCTTATATTCTACAATGTATTCTCCCCACATTGCACCTCGCTGACACTCCACACCTTGTTAGAATAATAAACAATCCTAAAGACTGAACGAACGTACAGAAATGGGGGGTGGGGGTGGGGGGGTGGGCGGGGGCTTAATAAAAAATACCTGGACTTATTTTTTTAATTATCATTTACAATGCAAATGTGTGTAAAACGTTCACTTACAGTCTGGTCCCAGGGATGTTAATGTATTAAAGGGTTGGAAGAAGACCCCTGGTTTTGATGTGTGAAATAATCAGACAGTCCCCCGGACAGTCCCGTCGTGAAGCTTGGCAAAGAGGGTCTTAAAGACTCGCAGGGCAGGGTCGACGGGGCCTGCGGAGACGTGGAGGAGGACGCGGCCCGGGCGCTCATGGACGTGCTGCTCTGCGAAGTCATTGACGGGTGCGGGACGTGGGGGAAAAAGTAACTGGTCTGGCCCGCTAGCAGGTTGACCGAGCAAGGGTTGAGCGAGTAGGTCCCGGAGCAGGGCACCGACAGGCCGCAGGGCACCGAGGCGGCGAGCGCGGCGGCCGTGAGGTGGTGCGTGGCGTACGGGATCTCCCCGTTGACCAGCCGGTCCACGCTCAGGCCGTTGGCCGTGGAGAAGGAGTGGTTGTTGCCCAGCGAGTTCTGAGTCAACACGGAGCTGTAGGGCATGGGGTGGCTGGGGTAGGCCGACGTGGTGCCGTTGTAGCTCAAAGTGCTGCTGGCGCGGGGGTGGTGCAGGGACAGGAAGGGCGACATGGGCCAGTAGAGGGAGCCGGCGCGGTCCATGAAGGTGAGGCCGGTGGAGGTGAGGCGCGCCCCGCGCTTGAAGGCCAGCTTGGCCCGCGACGTGGTGGAGCGGCGCCGCAGCTTGCCCGTGGTGCCGCCGATGAACACGTCGTCGCTCGACGGGTCCAGCATCCAGTAGTTGCCCTTGCCCGGGTCGTCGTAGTGGCG